GTGCAAAGGGGTATATTTTTTTTCACAGCGATTAGCATCACTTTCCATCATTTACAATTTCTGTAATTTGTTTCTCCCGAGGGATAGGACCAGCAGCTCTGTCACGCTGCTGTGCATTAGTGAGAGCTCTCTGTCAGCTCCAAGCTGGTTGGATTAGATTTGTGGTGATTGATGTCCACAGTGATGGGTGTCACTGCAGGGCCTTGGACATGTACCCCACTGGAATGTAGCTCAGGAGCTGCCAGGACTCCCAGCCATGGGCACTGGGTGAACACCAGAGCAGGGGGAGGAAAGAGAAGGTTTCTCGATTCGCCACCACTTCAACCACCCTCACCCCATTTCCTCCCCTCCCTTAAATGATGGGGAGTGCCAGGACCAGAAGGCAGAGCATGTGTGAGTGCCAGGGACACACAGCTGAGCAGCAAAGCCTGCAGTGCCAGAGGAGAGTTTGAAATCGGGGGTCTCTGCTCGACAGCTGCAGTAGCACAGGCCAGGTGGACAAAGGGACTGTGGGAGAGCTGAGCAGGGACAGAGGAGGAAGGAATGGGCTGGCACGCTCAGAAAGGCAAAGCTCAAGTGCTCTGGAGACCCTTCCTGACCAGAACTGTGAGTCTGAAAGGGTGGTTGGCTCTGGGGACACCTTCAGGTACTCTGGGTGTGAGAAGTCAGCTTCTCCTTCAAAAGACACCGAGGGAAGGTCTCAAATCTGGAGTTACAGCCACAAACCTCCCGAGCACAGAATCCCCCTGAGCACACCCCGCTGGGCTCAGGGCATGGAGCTGGGTTTGGGCACTGGGATCTGGTTGTCAAATGCTGACCAGGAGAGCAGGCAGTGGTTGCTAAAGCTGCCAGATCCCTTCCTGTGCTGCAGATCAGGTAACGAGCGATACCACCAGCGTCCCACAAACACACCCGGCTTCAGGGAGGGAAAAGAGAATTTCCTCCAACACCTCTCAGCTGCAAGAGGCTGGGACAGAAGCCTTTCCCCCCTGTTTAACACAGAGTTGTCCAGTCTTGTCCCCAGACTAAGGATGTGTTGCTGCAAGTGTTCTTTTTGAAACTCCTTTACAGCAACCAAGCGAGCAAAATCCCACACGTGTCTTTGAAAGCAGCTGAGCAACCACAACTCAAACCTTTAGTAATTGCAGTGCAGTGAAGTTCTCTAATTTCTTAGAATCTCTCTCCAGTCTGCATTTCCCTCATTTTATAACCATAATAATTGACCAGTACCTGTGTTCTGGGGTTTGAATGTGTGCTTTCTGAAGGAGGTGTGATTTTTTTTTTTTTTTTATGGTTTACACCAGAACCAATTATTTCCAACTTGCCCTTTGAGCTCTAAGGACACCAACCTTTCTCACATGCTCTGCTGATGCTGCCTGCACAGCACTGAGCTTCTTGTTCAGCTCCTGCTTCACCCATTGCTCCAGGAAGACGTTCTGTTTCATGGTGAATACGTATGTGGCATAGGCAGTCAGTAAAAGGAGGCTTTCCCACCAATCAATGACACTGTCTAGGAAAAACAGGATGAGCATCAGTAAGTCTACAATGTAGAATGAGATGTCTCTAAATAAGGGCCACCATGTCAGGTGGAGTATCTCCCTGGAGAAGAGGGCACAGGTGCCAATGACAAAGAGGATATTAAACACCGCTGAGCCCACAATGGTACCGATGCCGACATTGCTGTGGGAGATGAAGACACCTATGAGGGAGGTGAAGAGTTCTGGTGCTGATCCACCTGCTGCCATGAAGGTGGCTCCAGCCACATCTTCAGAGATCTGCAGCTTCTCTGTGATCACTCCCAGGGCGGGGACAAAATACTCATCACACACTATGGCCAGGGCCACAAACACATACATCATGCCAAAGATGTGAAGGACAACCCACCCTTGCCTGCGTTCTTCCACGCTGAACAGGTCCTGGGGGTATTCTCCTTTGGACTCGTGGGGTGGTTTTTTGTCCGGGTGGCTTTCACTGGTGTTTTCTGGCTGGGGGGTTGTATCCACCGGGGTGGTGACGGGCACGGCTGGCTCGGCATCCACATATATACAGTGCCTTATTTTGGGTGCCGTGGCGTTGCCTCTCCCAGCAGTCTTGTTGCTGGGGGGGTCCCTGGAGGTCACTGTGACAGGGTCCGTGGGCTGGGGGGCTGTGTGTGATGCTGGAAGGGCAGAGGGGCTGAACTGGAGCTGGTAGAGAGAGAGGATCAACACCGTGGCAAGGAAGAAAAGGATTCGGTTCCTTCGCAGCCGCCGCCTCCGTGGCAAATGCATTTCCCGAAGGTTCAGGATCCAGAGCCGTGTCCAGCAGCCTCTGGAGAGACTTCTCTTGGTCAGCAGTTCGAATTTACAGCCACCATTGGAGCTTCCAGCTGATCTTGAGCATCAGGAGTGGAACCGCACAGCACAAGATGCAGAATCCTGCCAAAGAGAATCTGGTGTGAAACATAAAGTACTGCAACTTGCCACCACTCGGGCAGCAACACTTCCCTTTTTTATTTTTCAGTAAGAAGAAATGGACTTAAATGAGTAAAGACAGATCTAGCTCCAGGGTTTAGTCTATTTTTTCTATATATGACTGTAGGTTGTGCTGATTAATAATCAAAGGTTGGGCTTAATAGAGAGGAGTTGGCTGAGACAGTCCAATCCAAGCTGAATTCTGATTCCACCAAATGCCCACATCCAGAAGCTGTTAATGATTCTGGTTTCACTGGAGTGCAGTTGTTATTCTGTACTATTAACAACTGGGTCAGAGTTCTGCAGGAGGAGAGAATGCAGCTTCTGCCAAGGAACCGACTTTAAACTGCTAGAAATGATGCTCTGAAGGCAAAACCAATCCTTGGCAAACCCTTCTCCTAAACCAGTTATTCACCAAAATACCCTCAGCAGGAGGATAGGAACTTTCCAGCCTTTCAGTCCCCAGGAGAGCAGCCAAGCAAGGGTGATTTTTTTCCCTCAGTGTGAGGAAAACGTGGTTCTGTGGTTTCACTAAAACTGGGGGTGCTGAGCAGCCCTTTGTTTCTATGACTACATCTTTCCAAAGCCTTTCTGTAGAATCCAGAACTGGCAAAGTGGAATTGCAATCATACCTTTTATTAGGGGGTAATTAGCATCTCTTGCATAATTGTTTGAGCAGCATGTAGGAAGAGAGAGTAATTGTAGATGCCAGAGAGACAGATCCTGCAGCTGTGACAGCCTGGATGGAGACAGGGATTTGGGGCTGGACAGCATCTACCCTTCAGCACCTCTGGAATGTTCTATATTCCAGTGTTTTACCTCAGAACATCATTCTCCATGGATTATTTTTTCCCCCCAGAGGGGGAATGTTACATTGTTCTTTAACTGGATATGAATCATAGTTTTCTAAACCACTCTCAGATAAGCTCTTAGTGCAAGTTATCACACACTCACCCTCTTGCATAACACCCAGGGAATTAATCAGCCTGAATTTCTTGCAAGACAGGCATTATTATCTTCATTTAAATAGCTGGGAGGATCACTAAGGCAACACTAATAGAGGGTCATGGGAGTACCTAGATAAACAGATGATATAAGCTTTGCTTTTCATATGTAAAAGGAACATAAACATGCATGTGGCAGAACTGCATAATAGGTATAACAAATTGGACATTATTATAAAATAACTCTCCCTAACAGAGACAGGAGAGCTCAGAAAATGGCCCAGGGAGGACACAGATGTGTGCACATACTCCTACTTAAACACTGGCTTTAGTTCTCTTCTCCAAACTGAGCTGCTTAAAGGACCTTTGTGAGCAGAAAGATACCCAAAGTTAGGATCAGTTCTGAGAGCTCTCCAGCCTTTCACAATTCCTGACCACCAGCCCCTCTTGTTCCTCTAGTCCTGTTAAGTTTAGCAGCTCTCTTGCAGTTAACTCCTGCTAAACTCCTTTTCTCAGCTCCTGTCTCAGTCAGGCAAGATCCAAACCAATCAAATAAACCCCCACATACCTTCCAGAGATGTGTCCAGGAGGAACAGCAGTTCCAAGGGCTGGGGGGAATGCTGGAAGCTCCTTTGGTACTTCCCAGCCCGGTGGGAGATGCTGTTGCAGAGGGAGGTGGATGAAAATGATCCCATTTTCAGGAGGTCTCCTCTGCCAGCGGAGCAGAGGAGGGTCAGTGAGAAGGACACGTTAGTGGGGGGACAGCCAATCCCATTTAATACCCACAGGCCCTAAGAGGATTCAAGAGTATTGTATAGATTTGGGTCTATCTCTGAAGCCAAAACCTTTGTCTGCTGCCACAGGTTGTTCCCAGTGCGAGGGCAGGTGATTATCTGCATTACAAACCACGGGATTGGAGCTCCAGCCATGGACATGGATCACCCTCATGGCATGGACATGGATCACCCTCACGGCAGCTCCCAGGGGTCAAACACCCTTAGACAAGGCCCTGGAGCTCCATTTTGAGGCATCTCCCACATCTGACAGGTCAGCCAAGCACCTTTGCCGCAATGTGCGTCTACTTTGCAATGCCAGAGGGAGCTTTGAAACTCTTTTTTATTTTATTTATTTATATTTTTTTTTTTTGGGTCTGGAAAAATCACTCAGCTCCCACAGCAGGAGCGCTGAGGCAGAGGGAGGCAGCAGCCCCTCACCAGCACAACAACCTGGGGATGGTGTCCAGGACTCCTCTGGGGCATGGACACGGTGCAGCTCCTCAGAGCAAGAAATCCCAACATTCCTGGCCTGTCCCCATCCCTGGAGGGATTTAAAAGCCCTGTGGATGTGACACTTGGGGACATGGAACAGTGATGGCCCTGGCAGTGCTGGGGGAGCGGTTGGGCTCGGTGATCCTAGAGGTCTTTTCCAACCTGAATGATTCCATGATTCCACGGTAATTTTGAAGCAAACGCACAGTTCCAGGGTCGCATCCCAGCTTTGCAATGGCCTTTATTGCCTCCCCGCGATCCTCCCTCCCGTATGAACACAACCGGGAGGAGGCGGCCCACTGCCCAGCCGGGAATGCTTATCCCCAGCCCCTTGTCCATGCACACAGTGATTTTTCCAGCGGCACCGCATTCCCGCAAATCCCACATCCCACAGAACAGCCTGACCCCGGCCCTTCCCGCCCGCGCCGCGCGTTCCGGGGGGACGCTTTCCGTGAGGGACCCATGGCGGCGCGGCGGGCCCGGGGTGAGCAACAGCGATTCCCTTCCCCCGCGCGGCTCCCTCCGCTCCCCGGGAACGTCCCGGGAATCTCCGGGAATCTCCGGGAGCGGCCCTCGGGAGCGGGAAAGGGCGGTGGGGAGCGCTGGCTGCCTGCTGGGAGGCCCCCGGAGCCGCTCCCCTTAGCGCGGCTCGGCTGCCGCCGTGTGCGGGCCCTCCTTCAGTGTGTGACCCGCCGAACGCGAGCCGAGCCCCTCGTTCTGGGCGAGGTGTTTTGGGGGACAAGGGCAACTGTCGCTTCTCCCCGGGGTCGGTGTGAGGGCGAGCCGCCCCCTGTGTGTGACTCTGGGCGTTCAGAGCTGAATGGTGCCCGTGGGCCCCTCCCGGTTCGGCTCGTTCAGCGATCGCTCCGTAACTTTAATAAGGGTTTGTGCCTTCTCCTCCCTTCCAGGCGGGTGATCGCGGTTCTCCGGGAGGGCGGCGGGACGAGCGGCTCACCATGCCCACGGTGGTGGTGATGGACGTGTCCCTGTCCATGACCCGGCCCGTGGCCGTGGAGGGCTCCGAGGAGTATCAGCGCAAGCACCTGGCGGCCCACGGGCTCACCATGCTCTTCGAGCACATGGCCACCAACTACAAGCTGGAGTTCACGGCCCTCGTGGTGTTCTCGTCGCTCTGGGAGCTGATGGTGCCATTCACGAGGGACTACAACACGCTGCAGGTACGGGGGGTGCAAAACAGCAGCGGGAAAACCTCAGCATTTTAAACCACAGTCAGCCCCTTTCGCCAGCAAACCGCGGGGGAGTTGCGTGTTCTGGTGCCGTCCTGTGCACCACGGCTTGAATGGGGTGCTTGGTCATTATTGAAGTGTAGGGGAAATCAGCGGGTCTGAAACATTTTGCTGCTCTGCAGGTGAGCCCAGGAGTGTGGCCAGTTAACTTAAAAATGGGGATGGAGTTAAACAGGGGAAAGAGCTGCCCCAAAGCTCTAAAAGTGGCTCTGTGATGGTCCTGTGGTTTTGCTCCTGGTAGATGGTGCAGGGTGATGCCCTGGTGACAGGACCATTTAGAAGGGGTTTAAGTCAGGTGATTTGGGCAGAGAGAAGGTGCTTTTGGGGGTTGTGTAGCAGCTGAAGCAGGACAAGGATGAGAATAAGTGATTTTAGGCCTCACAGATGTGATGGGAAGTTGGAAGTGGAAAAGGGGGAAGTCCAAGAGGGAAGTTTCCCATGACTGCAGTAAGTAATCCTCGCACCTGCGAGGATTTTCTCAGATAAAAGTTTCTTGTTAGACTTTGCCTCAGATTTTGACGTTTCTGTTTCTTTGAGACATGCAAAGGATTTTTTTTTTTATTTCTCTTGAAGAGCTGTGTTTGTAATTTTACAATTCTTTCAGAGTCAGCTGTCATTGTCTCGTGGTTTCATTCACCATTTCTTTACACCTTTCTTTCCCTGTGTGTCACAGTGCAGCTGTGGGACCATGCAGAGCAGACATCCTGACTCACCAAGAGCCAGGAATGACTGGGATGTGTCTCCTGGGAGGAATATTCACTCCCCAGGAATGACAGTGGGGTTTGTCTTTGCAGGAAGCCCTGAGCAACATGGATGATTATGACAAAACCTGCCTGGAGTCAGCACTGCTGGGGGTTTGCAACATCGTCCAGCAGGAATGGGGGGCAGCAATTCCATGCCAGGTACTCCTGATTTCGCTGTTTTTAGGATCCACTGCATGCTTAGTTTTCCTTGGCAGGGGGATTGGAACTGGGTGATCTTAAAGGTCCCTTCCAACCCTAACCATTCCGTGATTCTGTCCCTGTGAGTTGCGTTAGAAATGTGAACGTAATCTGAAAACTTTGAATACTCTCAGGCATGCTACAAACCCACAAAGAAATAGTGTTTTGGATAGAGCTGGAACAGGAACAGAAGGTGATGTTTGTTTAAATATCTGCTGTCCCAGGTTTGGCATTTGGTCTGGGTGCACTGTGCTGGCCCAGGAGCCTCACTCGGGGTGCAAAGGGTGCAGTCACACATTCAGCAACCTTTCTTCCCCAATACCTGCTGGTTCCCAGGGCTTGGAGCAGTTCCAGGTCTCCACCACCGGTGTGGGACTTAGCTGAGTGTGTTTTCATCCCAGATGAGTCGTTTGACTTGCAGCTGCTCACTCACTCCAGCCAGCCCTCAGAGCTCTCAGCCTTCCAAATCTGCTGCCTCTTATGACAAAGTTTGCTCTTAACCCATAATTTTCTGAGACACTTGATGTAAGTTCAGTAATTTAGCAGCTCAGTGAGCTGGGAAGGTGCCTCCAGCAATGTTCCTTAAGGAGAAAAGGACAGAGGTTTCAGGGTTGGGTAGAGCTTCACAATCCAACACTGATGAAAGGCACCTTGGAACAGCAGAAATTCAGAGCAAAGAACTGGAAAGGTGTAAAAACCAAACAGAGATTAAACCTCAACAATCTGGTCTCTCATTTGTGTTAGGGTTCATTTTCCTGGCACTTCATGTGGTGGGGTGATGAAAGGCAGTGGGGAATGTGCTGTGAGGGGTCTTGGACTGGAGGAAAACATCACTGGTGAGCAGCAGTTCAGGTGGGAGCTGAGGAGACTGGAGAGAGAGGGGGGCTGAGAATGAAGAGAGAGAATACAAATGTGGACATTGCAAATACACATTGAGTTTGGATTGAATTTGATTTCCCTCACCTCCCAGCCAAAAATCATACCTGCTGTTCCTGTGCAGTGCTGAAGGAGCAGCTCTTTCATTCCTCAGGGTCTCAGCTGAGTGTAAATAATCCCATTATTAAGTGTAACCTCCCAGTGCAGGCTCCCACAAGGATTGACTGTGATGTGCAACTCAACAGAAAAATGGTTTTGCTCTAACAGTTCTGCTGCAAAACGTGCAGCTGTGTTTGCAAAGAGTGAAGACAATTAATGCTACTTTTTTTTTATGGTTTCTGTGTCTGGGAGGAGTGAAAGTCGAGTTGCCCTCCAGATTCTGCGGGAGAAATGGGCTTTATCTTCCACCTGGAAAAAAAGCCTGGAATCCTCGAGTCCATCAGCAGCAGGCAGTGTAGTCACTGTGCTTCTAATGTGAACTTAGAAATTAGGCAGTTCTGTGTCCCCGCAGGTTGTCCTTGTCACCGACGGCTGCCTGGGCATCGGCCGCGGCTCCCTGCGCCACTCGCTGGCCACGCACAACCAGCGCAGCGACAGCAACCGCTTCCCGCTGCCCTTCCCCTTCCCCTCCAAGCTCTACGTCATGTGCATGGCCAACCTGGAAGAGGTGATGTCCCTCCCGCTCTCTCGCGTTGGGTGATTGTTGGGTTTGTTCTGTTTGGCACGGAACGCCCCTGGATGCTCTGGTGCTTCAGCTGACATTGCAGTGTTAGTGATTGGCTGGAATGTGACTTCTGAGGGGTTTATTATTGCACTGTTAATTATCTACTACTACTGCTGCGTTATTGTAATAATCTTTATAAATTGTGCCAGTTCCCCCCCTCCCCCCTCCCGGGGGGAATATTATGCAATTTTAATTTATCTGTTTGTATTGTTGCCATTACTGCATTAATTGCACTGAATGCTTTTGTGGGGTTTTCTTAACCTACAGGTAAATTCTTGCCTAAATGAATTCTGTTGTAAAGATGCTCAACTTTTAAAATATAATAGCTTTGTGTGGAGATGTGAGGGAGCAAAACTGAAGTCTCCAAGCCGCTGTTCAAACCAGCTTCCCTTAATTTTGAAGGGAAAGGTGCTGGTTTTCTTTCTCTTACTTTTCTCTTCTTGCAAATCTCAATAGCAGCTTTAAAAATCTTCCCAGGAGCTAGAATTCTGCTGAATAAACAAGGTTTCAAAAGAAGCCTCTTTGACTAAGGTTCCTTAGAAAAGGGTTTTATTAATAGAATTGCTTTTGTCCTGACACCAATATTCCTGTGTCCATCACAGAAGGATTTTCTGCCTAGGAATCAAATTGATATCTCAGCTTCAAGGTCTCTTGTCAAGGATGATCCTTTTGATTAAACTGATCAGAATAACTGGGAAAAGGTTTTAAAATAAACCTTCTATTTCTGATAAGTAATAAGAGAACAGGAATGTTGCTTTATTTGGAAAGGAGTGAGATAACAAAAAATCAGGAGAGCTTTTTGCTGTGGTGTGTATATATTTTCTTAAAACATACTGGTTAATAAAAAGGGAGAGTAAGAAGAACACTCAACAAAAATATTTCCCTCTGTTTTGTTTTGTTTTGTTTTGTTTTTACAGCTTCAAAGCACAGATTCCTTGGACTGCCTGGAAAGGCTCATTGATTTAAACAATGGGGAAGGGCAGATTTTCACCATTGATGGCCCCCTGTGCCTGAAGAATGTGCAGTCAATGTTTGGGTCGGTAGATAAGAGGCCTTTGGGAAGGTTTCCAGTTAGTATCTCTAAATTAAAGCAAATACAATAAGAAATCTGGCGATATGAGATGTTCTAATTAAACTTTTTTTTTTTCCCTTTTATTTTATGATCTTGTTAACTGTGTTTTCACTTTGACCTTCACCGTTTGAGGTCAATATTTATTTTAATTATTGTGTAACCAAACCATAGCAGTTGTTTAAGCTTGGCTGACAGAACACTGTAATTTCCACAGTTATTGTTCATCTGCCATCAGTGTGATAATGTGCTGCTCTGTTCCATAGCTTAGCAACACTAGAACTATTAAATTAACTGGAGCTAAAAAAAAAAAAGGGGTTGGGACCTAAGTTAGCGTGCTTTAGACAGATGATTTTCATTTGGTATGTTTTATGTTGTCTTTAATAACTATGTGTGTTCTAGAAAGCTGATAGACCTGGCCTATACCCCATTCCATGCTGTTCTCAAGTGTGGCCACTTAACATCTGATGTGCAAGTATTTCCCAGACCTGAGCCTTTCATTATAGATGAGGAGATAGACCCCATTCCTAAAGCAATTAATACAGGTAACAAACCTTTGATTGCTCTTCGACTTAAACCCATTTGATTTCTGCCTTTTCCTTCCACCTGCTGCTTCATCCACGTCTCCTCTGCAATTATCAGTCACTGACTGTGTCATTTTTTGGTGTATGGGGAACCAGAACATCATCCTCTTTCATCCATGAGTGCCTGGTGACAGGGCTGGGGTGGGGCAGAGGCACTTTCAGAGCTCGGGGTGCCAGTTTTTAGAGGCAGAGACAGGAAGACAGCACAGGCTGCTGTCCATGAACACCCTCTAAAGCTTTATGGGAGACAGGAGACACCTGTTGAAGAAGGGGATGCATTTTGCATTAGAGCTGCCTTTACCAGAAAGAATCTGCAGGATCAGGTGAGACAAACCAGCGTCTTTCTGGAGGGTTCTTTGAGGAATCCATCAGCAGTGGAGTCAGGAGGGATTGGTGAGGCAGCACAAGCTGAGGTCTATGAGGTTTAGGTTGCCTGTCATCCTGGCACATCTTGCCAATAATAAATTATTTTTAAAAAACAACTGTGCCGAGGAAAACCTTCCTTGGCCCTGCCACGAGTGGACAGGTACTTGTTTCCTCTCCTTTGGCATTTCTAAACCAGCAGTGGGGTTGTTACAGTGTAAAAGTCAGTGTCCACGATCCTGTATCTGTCAAGCAGCACAGCTCGTGGGCAGCACTGTGTGTGATGGGAGTTGTGTTCTTACCTGAGAAAGTCCTGGTATTGTGGGTGTTTGTATCTCATTAACATTCATAACCCCAGCTGAGGTTTGGGTTCTCCGTGCTGCCTCATTGCTTCAGAAAACAGCAGTGTAAAAAGTGTTGTTCAGTTGACTCCATCCATTTCAGCTGCTTCCAAATCTGACTTAAACCTGTTGTCTCCCCCCAGATCTGGAAATTGTTGGGTTTGTAGACATAGCTGACATTTCCAGCCCTCCTGTCTTGTCCAGGCACTTGGTACTGCCCATTGCACTTAACAGAGGTGAGCAGGTTTGGTTTTTTTCAGCAAAAAAACTACCCCAAGCTTCCCTTGTAATGTCTGTGGGGCTTTAGACTAAAAGCACAGATTTTGTGCTGTATCAAAATGCAGGATGTCATGTTTGTGTGCTCACATTAAAATTAAAACCTTAAACACAAGGTTTCTTGTTTTGAATACTGTGTTCTTTGGGACCTTCACAGAGGGACCAGGGTCCTTAAAGCATCATTGTTAATAGAACATGCTAAACTTAAAGCTAAAAATAATAATGAGCCATGAAATATGCGGTGCAAGATGAATATTTAATGCCTGTGAGTACAATGCAGTGGAATATTTATGTATCATTATTGTGCCACTTTGCCCAAACAGTTCATTTAGCAGCTGTTTGTCCTACAGAAGTATTAATTAACTCTTGCATGCAGACAGTAAAGGGTGGTGTCATGGAAGGGCAACTGGTGTGTTTGAATTTATTCCTGTGTTTTCTCTTTGTTTGTTTTTTATTCTTCCCCAGAGGGGGATGAGGTGGGACCTGGGATCACAGACGACACCGAAGATGAGAATTCAGCAAATCAGATCGCTGGGAAAATCCCCAACTTCTGTGTTTTATTACATGGCAGCCTCAAAGTGGAAGGCATGGTGGCTGTCGTCCAGTTGGGGTATGGAGCTGGATGTCTGCCTGAAAAATCTCTTCCTTTGCTCATTTGTGCTTTATTTGTAAATTATGTTATTTATATCCGTGTTCTGTGCAGAACTCTGCCCTGCCAGACAGAGCTGTGGATTTGTAATCACAGAGATGTTTCTGCCAGTACAAATTGCAAAACGTGGAGCCCACACACGGTGGGAGGGAGGCAAACTCTAAGCACAGGGGTGGAAGATTTTCAGCCTTTGGGGGTTTGCTCTTTTCCATAGGCCAGAGTGGTATGGAATGCTTTATTCACAAGCTGACAGCAAGAAGAAATCAAACCTCATGATGTCCCTCTTTGAGCCTGGTCCTGAGCCCCTGCCATGGCTGGGGAAGATGGCACAGCTTGGCCCCATCTCAGGTACTGCTCACCCTGCCTTCAGTAACTCAGTCAGTGTGGTGTGAATGATCTTGTCAAATCTTAGTAGCTAAGCCTGTTTATTTTCTTTTTATTTTTTCCCCTCCCAGATGCAAAAGAAAATCCTTATGGGGAGGATGACAACAAGAGCCCCTTCCCCCTGCAGCCCAAGAACAAGCGCAGCTACGCCCAGAACGTCACAGTGTGGATTAAACCAAGTGGCCTCCAGGTAAAATGATGAGCTTTTGGTGCTTCACTTTGGGCCATCTCAGCAGGAAAGTGGGGGCTGTGTGTGTGTCCTGCCTGATTAATGTAATTGCTTTATTGCTTTTCTTTCGTTTTTATGAGCGCTGCCTCTTCACAGTGTCCTGATTAAAATGCAATCAGAAAGCAGAGCTTGTTTGGTGAAAGCTCTGCCTCCAGTGTAGCATCTGGCTTGGTTTATTGGATTTAGTATAATTACCGTTTATGCTTCAGCCTTTGTGAGCTGCAATGGCCAGGATAATTTATCAATAAAGAGTTGAGGGTTTTTTCTGCAGCTTCCCCCAGCAGTTGCCAAAATTTTAGTACTTTTTTTTTCCCCTCTTTTCTGCAGACAGATGTACAGAAGATCTTGAGAAATGCAAGGAAACTCCCTGAAAAAACTCAGACCTTCTACAAAGTGAGTAACACTGCGGCCTGGCCCAGGTTTGACCCGTGCATTTAACAGAGGAACCACAGTGTCTGGGACTGTGTGGGATGTTCTGTGCAGGCTTGTAGGGCTGGGAAAACATGGATGCTCTGTAAAGGAGACATCCTGAGTCATTTTATAGGGTCTGCTTTCCCTGCCACCCTTTCTCTGTCAGGGTGGCACAGACATGTCGTGTTTGCAGGTGTCCCTCCTGCCCCCTGCTCCTTCCATGGTGAACTTATTGACAGATTTCATGCTCTTGGCCAGGCAGAGATAAACTGGGGGATCAGACAGAAATAGGAACACAGGTGTCATTCTGAGCCTGAAAATGTCTCCTACATTTTATCTACAACTGGAGCAGAGAAAGACAAAATTCCAGGCACATTTGGCCACATCACAGTGATCCATAACTGGACTGTAGCTGGAAGTTACTGTCCCTCTTGCAAGCTCAGTGCTGCAGCAGTTTAGTGTTGTAGCACCCAGAGACTTGAGGAATGAATACCCTGCCTAAGGGCACATAAGCACAGTCAGTTTACAGTGAGGAAAAATCAATATACCCACATTTTCTCTGGACGCTGGTTAAAGGCAGCAGTCAGTCACTCAGTCAGTCAGTGAAGCCTCAGCTGGAGCCCTGCTGGGACACAAAGTTTCTGAATGCACAGAGGGGAGAAGAGGGGATTTTTAGGAAGGGATCAAGGGAAATCCAGCTGCTTTAGCTGCACCACAGTCAGCATCTTCAGCTCTGAAGCATTTCTTACCTCTTGAGCAGCTGGGCAGCTTCCAGCAGCCGAACTGTGAGTGACACCACCTTTAAAGAGAAAGAAGGAACCCCACGTTTCTCGTAAAGGCTCGGAGTGGCTTTAAAAGGGAGTGTCTGTGCTTGCAGGAGCTGAACCGTTTACGGAAGGCAGCGCTGGCCTTCGGCTTCCTGGAGCTGCTGAAGGGAGTGGCGGACATGCTGGAGAGGGAGTGCACCCTCCTGCCCGACACCGCCCACCCCGACGCCGCCTTCCAGCTCACACACGCGGCTCAGCAGCTCAAGGTGGCGAGCACCGGAGCCTCGGAGTACGCTGCCTATGACCACAACATTGCCCCTCTGCCGACAGACTTCTCCAGCAGCAGCGCCGAGAGGATGTGAAGGCTCCATTGCGGGAGCTTCTCCAGACTGAGGCCCGAGCGGTTCTGATTTTCTTGTCCTGTTTACCTTTTAGGGCCGTTTAATGACTGGTTGGAGAAATTCCTCTCCGATGCCAAAGGGCATTTTGCATCAGTGCTCTCTAAGCAAACGTAGCGAGTTCATGGTGGCTTTAGTCAGACCTGGAAAGTGGGTAAGGTGTCCCAGAGCCAGTTATGGTGTTGGATGATGGGTGGAAGTTGCTCGGTACAAAAATGCCATGGTTGGCAGCTCGTGGCTTTTGGCCTCCCCAAAATGCAGTTACTACGTAACTGAACTCGCTGGTGAGAGTATCCTAACAGGCAGCTACTCCACTTTATACACAAACTTCATCAGCCCAAAGAAAAGGTGTGGGAAGCAAGATCAGAGACGGAGCTGATTGCGGGGTGTTGGCCCTGATTTTATGCCCAGCTCGCCAGCCTGTGGTGCCAGAGCGAGTGTCACCACTGGCTCTGCAGTGCTCGTGAAAGGAACTTAACCTCGGGATTAAGGTTTTTTTATTTGCGTAACATTAATAAAGAGCAATTCTTCAGGACAGTTTTAAGTTGGATTTTCTTCCATTTTCAGAGCAAAACACTGACCTGGTGCTGGCTCAGCTCACAGCTGTGTATCACACGACAAATACCAAACTAAACAACTCCTCAGGTGCACGGAAAGAACAACTGAAGTAAAGCAAAATTTGGTTGTAAATCTTTATTAATAGAAACACATTCTTGCTGAAGAACTAAAGTTCAGTAGTGTAAGATCCATGACAGCCTGCACTAGGTACCACAGCTTCACTGATGGATACAGATGGATTTCAGAACAGAAGTTTAAATGCCCAGAGGAGAAAATGAAAGTGATCCTTGCTGTTCTGTTGCTCAACTAAAGCAATCCTTTGACATACTTCAAACATAGGTACAGTGTGTGCTAAGTGAAAGATTGTGTAAGTAGTGCTCAGCTCTCCTGAGTAAAGTCAGCTGTGCTCTCCTTTGAGTGGCAGTCTGGAGTATCCCCAGAGAAGTTGGATCACACCCCTCTGAGAGAACACAGTTTGTCAAGTGCAGCCTGGAGCTTGAACTGGTTCTTTGTTAAGAGTCTCCTTAGAACAGTTTCCTTTCCTTTACAGTAACAATCACTGGGTCTTTATCACAAACATTACGCTGTTTGTTACTTTTTGTACAGAAATTAATTTTTCTGGAAGATTCCTATGGTTTTACAGCAGAAAAAAAGACAATCAGGAACACGGCGCTGAGCTAATCTGGACTGCTGGCATCGCTTTGCAGTGCCCTGGGGCAGGGGCAGTTGGGAAACAACCTGTTCATAAACCACAGGACAGTTCAGAGTAAACTTTCTGTACCTTTCTGACCTGGATTGAGGAGGGCAGAGGGATCAGCTATAGGAGGCTCAGGGTGAGGGGCATCCTGAAATAAAGTCGACTGGAACAAAGGCCTCCAGGTGAGACAGAGATGAGCTGGAATGGGAGCTTCTCTTTTGTTGTGTTCTTGCTGTTGTTGAACAAGCACAGAAAAAAAGAGTCCTTCAGACCCTGTGTCGCATCTCCCTTACTGAGGTTTGATCTGTGCCATCTCAGTACTGCAGTTTCTTTGACCTGCTGCTCCATCCCAGCAGCGGATGTCAAACCAGACACCCCAACCTCTGCTGCAGCCCTGAATGGAACTAGAAAAGCACTTCTGCCGCCTTGCTCAAGGCCATAAACACAGGAGCCACAGCCCTGCCAGGACCCACCAGCGGAGCCCCATCTGCCACGACAGTCCCGCGTTCTCCCTGGGGGGGGGATGGAGTTCTTTGGGGTTCCCATGCCAGGAGAGAGCTGGTACCTACGTTTCCTTATTGTGCTCCTTTTCAGTGCTTGCTTTGCCAACCAGGGAAGCATTTCTGCCTCAGAGGGGCAGTTTCCTTTCCCTCACGACTGGATAGCAGGTGTAGCTACAGGAATACAGGTCCACACAGCACTCTATTCTGTGAAGGCTGAACTAGAAACAAGTGACAGCACTGAAATCAGCATTAGCTACTTCCAGTTCTAATCCTGCAGAAGAAAAGGAGGGGGGGATGTGCTTAGCAAGTTCACCCCAGTGGCTGATAACCACCCAAACCTGTTCACAGTGGTCTCAGACTGTGCTCCTCCTGCCATCAAGATGCATCCCAGGAACAGCACGGGCCAGCTGAGGGCATATCCCAACCTCAGCAGCCCTATCTGCATGCAATATTGAGAGAGCAAATCTCCAGTGAAAAGATAAACACTATTTCTATTTAGTGCTGCTCCACTGATTATAAGCATTTCATATGCAGATAATAGGATTTCTTTCTAATATGCTGGTTGACAGGATACAAGTTTAACTGTTCAGTGGTAAATGCCATGCACAGGTGATGGAAGGGGAACAAAATCCAGGACGTGGGAATGTTACCGGAATTCACTATGAAATCATGAAATCTAACGTGGTCATTTCATTTTTACAAAATCCTTTAGATTACAGTGGGTAAAACCATAAGAATTGGAGGCTTATCTTGCCAACAAGGGAGACAAGAAAGCATTGCAGTCCTCCCTCACTTCATCTTCCTCTTCTTTGGTCCAAGGTGCTGTTTCCTTTGCTTGTAGAGGTGACGGAAGTTTACAAATATCCCTGGAAAAGAACCCACAGTGTTTAGGTAGGACATCATTTTAACACTACCAGATTAAAGAAAAAAAAAAAACAACCCAATAACAGAAACCAGCCAACCAAACCACCCCAGAAAGAAAGAAACTATTTAAGGGGGTGTGGAGCACTGGGAGGTAATTAATGCAAGGGTGGTTTTGCTGGGTGAGGCAGGAGCTGCTGCCCAGGCTGTTTGGTTTGGCTGCTCAGGAGGTTGGTTTGGCACCTTGTGACACCCACTGTGCAGAGCTGTGGAGGATGAAACAGGGATTTCAGAGATAAACTCGATGAAAGGTTGGCTTTAAGCAATGTCTGAAGGGGAGAAACGTAGCGAGAGCTCAGTTTAAAATTGCAGGTTGGACTCTGGTGAGCCGAGGATGCCCAGAGTGCTGGGTGTGCCCACAACAAAGTTAAACTGTCTTTAAAAGTGTTAACACCAGAAACCAAGTATGTACCAGGCACCTTTCTTCTTTGGGTGCACTCTCTAAAGAACCTTCTGTATTGTTTCCTGGAAAAACATGACTTCATGTTCCAGTTGTTGTTATACTGCAGTGTTAAACTGAATTGCTTTAATTTGAAGTTACGTTTAGGTCCCCATTGCAAAGCTCAAATACCACGGGAAAGGTGAAACTAAGTACTCTTAAGGTTATAAATACATGTAAAAATTATTCTTTCGACCCAAGTTAATGCTGCTAATTTGTTGCCAAGGGCTCCTTCTTGAAGGGCTGATCAGTTCCCCTCCATCACTGACAAATTTACATGAACAAGCCACAAGGATAGTGCTTAACCTCAAGCAATTTTGTGTTGCCATGGTCCCCAAGATGCAGGAATTTAATTTTCTTTGAAAAATCCACTTATTCGGGGGGAACTGGCCTTTATATTTCAATATTGAGCAACACAACTTAATACCTACCTAAAAACAGGGCTATAAGATATATCTGAAGCACAAATGGGAACTGGATTGTGACATTCAGCGGGTTTGGCAGTCCCAGACTAAATTTCCCTGTTTCGCTGAAGATTGGGATGGACTGGACGATGCAGACAGCTGAAAGCAAAGGTCACCATCATCAGCAAACACAGAGAAAACAGACAATCACCCAGCCCACACCACCCATTTCAGGGTGCTCCCTTGTTCTTTGCTCTCTCCTAACTGCAGCATTTGAAGGCTGGGCAGCGTGCAGTGGGGTGGGAAGCACTGGAGGCAGTGCCTGGTTCCACTGCCCCCACCCCCAGCTGCAGCCCCAGGGCCTGTGCCAGCAGCATCTGCCATCCACAAACACCCACAGCAGCCAAACAGGCTGTTGGGCAATGCCCAAATCTCCTCCTGCCTCCCAGACACGGGTCCTGACAGGTACAGTTACAACACAACAATCAGCCCCTGCCTGTCCCCTGCAATGACAAGATCTGTGGGCTTGAACAGAGGCACAGTCAGTGATTCAGTCTGAAAGACAAAATGCTTGGTTTTGGTTCAGCTCAAAGCAAATCTATTTATCTGTTGTTCTGTTTTACTATTTTTAAGTCCAGCAACCAGAAAAAAAAAAAGGTTATTTGCCCTGCCTTGAATTCATTATTTGTTAAACTGTCTTTTTTGGACATACCTTCTGACAGGCCCCCTAAGGGGTAGAGAGGGATCCAGACAGTGTATCGGAGCCAGGTCAGGGGTTTCCACTGAATTCCCATGCAGGAAAGCATGTAATAGGGATACCTGCAGCCAGGTGGGGACAGACAGAGTGGTTCAGAATGAGGGAACACACACTGCTTAAAATGGAAGCTGCTACCACAGTTAGGCTTGTGTTTGTACACTGTGGAGCCAACACGATTCCCAAATGACACAACATTCAAAGCATTGTTCCTATGGATGCCATGGACACACAGTTATTTGGAAGCTTACAGAACTCAGATTATTATTATTATTCTGACCACGTGGATGAAGGCAACTGCCTGTCTGCCTCATAAACTTTTTAAAATACTTCTTTGCAAAGAGAAACATCTCATTTAACAACAGGAATTCAAAGCCACTGAACCCTCAGGATAAAAAGCATCAGGGCAGTATTGCTTTGGACTCCAGCCTTACCCCAGCTTTTGGCAGATGGAACAAGCCAGGAAGGCTGCAACAGTCCATGGCTCGAGGAGCTTTTACCCTCTGGGGCCAAGGCATGAAAGCCACCCTTGCAGAAAGCACAAAGATGAAAATCCCCTTTCCAGAGTTCCTGGGAACAACCCCATTGTTCCTGTGCACACCTGCCAGGAGACGAATCCCACCCACCTGAACAGCTCAGTGATACTCCAGAAGTAAAATATGAAGAAGACCACAGGTTTGCTCTGCATTTCCTCCAGGCTTCCAAGGATAACAAACAGAACAAAATTCCTCCCGAATATCTGTTTAAGAAAAACAAAATCGTGTGCTTTCCATCAGCTTCTTCCCTTTGCTGTCCTGCACTCTCTGAGCTGGGTGATGGAAGGAAACAGCCTGCCACAGCCAAGATTGGGAAGCATGGATTCCTGCCTCTGGAATGATAAATCCTCTAGCCCAGTGCCAGTGAAGTATCACTTATTTCAGGGAAGTCTCAAACT